GCTGGCACCTCTGCAGTCCTTAAACCTCACCACTCTGTTTTAATAAGCTGTGAAACCCAAGCCATGGGTCTGTCCAGCTCTCCCACCACCCAACGGCTGCACAAAGGTCGAGTCTGGTTTGGGGAGAAGCTGCTCCATTGGGGTTCTCAGGACTCTAAAACACCTCAGCAAAGCTGAGGGCTTGTTCCCAAGAGCTGAGGGAATTTCCATCCCTGCCTGGTTTTGCTGGCTGGGAACAGGTTGCACAGTCAAAGGTGGTTTGTAGTGCTGTATCCCTCGAGAATGTCCTGGAATGGTGGAGTTCCCATCCAAGTGTAACCAGTGGAGGCACACAGAATCACAGAATATGTCAAGTTGGAAGGGACCCACAAGGGTCATCAAGTCCAACCCTTAGCCCTGCACAGGCCCATCCCCAAGAGTCACACCATGTGCCTGAGAGTATCATCCAAACACTCCTTGAGCTCTGCTAACCTTGGTGCTGTGCCCACTGCCCTGGGGAGCCTGGTCAGTGCCCAACCACCCTCTGGGTGAAGAACTTCTTTCTAATATCCAACCTGAACCTGCCCTGACACAACTTCAGGCCATTCCCTGGGGTCCTGTCCCTGGTCCCCACAGAAGAGAGCTCAGTGTGTGCCCCTCCTCTTCCTCTCATGAGGAAGTTGTAACTGGAGTGAGGTCTCCCTCAGTCTCCTCCAGGCTGAACAGACCAAGTGCCCTCAGCTGTTCCTCATATGGCTTCCACCACTAGTGCATCTCTCAAATAGGGGGCTGTGGGTGGTTGTGCTTATCCAAGCCTGGGACTGTGTTTTGGAGAATCCCTCCTGGGCACTGATGCTGGTGAGACCCTAGATGTGGTATCTCCCCAGAACAGCCCCCCACACCCAGCCTGTGTGCGTGGGAAGGGTATTGCTCTCCTGGTTGCGCCGCGAGTCCTGTGAGGGCTGGAACGAGCGCTGCCGCTTCCCGTCTCCACTGCAATGTATTTTTACCCAAACATTGCTCATATTGTTCAGTTGATGACTACTTTTTTTGTTGTCGTTGCGGTTTTTAAGCCAAACAACATATTTCCCCCCCCTGCAATTTGTGCCAGCAGAAAGGAAGGAGGAGAGAAACGGCTCTGGGTAGGAATTGTTTTGTGGGAGACGTGCAAGCGAATAGGGGAGCCATAAGGAGAGCAAATCGCTTTCCAAATAGCATATGGGGGTGGACAGGAGGGAGGTGTACGTCAGGAACACGTACCGTGCTTCACAAAGGTACGGTGACCTTCAGCTGTGTCCTCAAAGTGCTACCAGAAAGGGAAGCCGATTTTGCGGAGGCTGAAAAGCCTCGTGATTCCTCTGCTTCAGCCCTTTCCTGGGGTGGCCACACTGCTGAAGGCTTTTGCTGTAGAACAAGGGGGAGATTGAGATCGGAGCATTGTGCCAAACCTCGGGGTGGATCTCACCACCTCTGCCAGGCTGGAGAATCTCTCAGCGTGGTGACGAAGATGTGAGCTCAGTAGCCCTGATGGATTTATCTCCTGGAAACCGTGGATGGGAGAGAAGGCGGTTTGGCAAGCTCTGCTCGAGGAGAGGAATGGTCCTGTCGCCTCCAAAATGTGTCGTGCTTGGCCAGCATTGGGAGGAGCTGGTGCCCGGGCACTGGTGATGTGGCTGTGTCGTGCCAGGGAGGAGAGCAGTGTGTGGGTAGTGTGGAGGTGCCAGGAGCTGCTGCCTGAGCCTGTCTTTGACACAGGCAGTCCAGGGATGTGTAGAATAGAATAGTTCAGTTGGAAGTGATCTACAAGGACCATCCAGTCCAACTGCCTGACCACTTCAGGGCTGACTGAAAGTTAAAGCAAATTATTAAGGCCCTGTCTACCCTGCGGTAGGATTTCTTCCCATCCTTTTCTGAACAATTAAAACCTCAGAGGGCTGCTGTGGGGAGGCCCAGGTGGCAGTTTGTAGTGGACTGTCTCTCTCATGGATATGATGGACACTCCCATAGCCAGCAGGGTCCCACCAACCCCAGCAAGTGCTGTGTCTCATTCTGTTACGGTGCAGTGGTCTCTTCTCCCTCCCCTTTGGCACTGTTGGCAGTGCATGAAAGGCCCTCCCTTCATCCTTCACCCCTGCTGCTCACACAGTTGAAGCTCAGCTACCTTTCATTTGTCACTGAGAGTTTTCTCCATGCTGCTCACCCTTGTCAAACTATGCTTGCTGAGATCATGTCAGGGAGGATCTTTTCCCATTTCTCTTTTTCTCTCCTTTCCCTTTTGCTTTTCTTTTCTTTCCCCTTCCCTTCTTTCCTCTTCCCTTTTTTTCTTCTCTTCCTCGTTTTACTTTTCTCCCCTCTCCTTCCCTCTCCCATTTCCTGTCTCCAAACCCCTGAGCTCAGGGGCATGGAGCAGCCAAGGACATGCTGGCACACAGGAGCTGTGCAGAGCAGTGAGACACACCAACTCTTTGCTCCCATTCCTGCAGTATTTGTAGCGCCATCCCAAATAGGTGGCAGCTGAAGGACCCTCTCCTCTTCCTGCAAAACTTTCCTCCTGATTTTGGGCATTTGTTCCACTGACAGGCACAGGAGCAGATGCCCTGGGATGGATGTGCCAGCGTGGTGGCCAGATGGGTATGATCACCACAGGGTCCCTGCTCCCATCAGCTGAGTAGGGACCCGTGAGAGTGCTGTGACCTCGCTGTGCTTTGCTGCTCGCCGAAGGCATGGCCCTCTCCTCCTCCTCCCTCCTGTGCTCTCCTGCTGGCCTCCTTTCAGTAAATAAGCCTCAGCCGTGTGGTTCCCGAGCTCCCTGCTCCACTTCCACACATCCTGTATCACACAGCCCCGAGGTTTGGGTAACTCACCATCTGTTCACAGGGAGGCCCTGCCACGTGTGTTCCCGGGTGAAGGAGCTGTGGGGATGGGCTTCCCCCTGTGAACACGGTGGTGGGAGGCTGAGCTGCCCTGGTGCTGCCATGGCATCATTCCCTGGCACCTCGGGTTGGATTTGTGCTGTTGGGGTGGGACTAGATGTTCTTTAGAGTCCTTTCCCTGCTCTTGATGTATTTTTTTCCCTTGTGACAATGCCTGCTGGGGCATCTGACAGCACAGGATTCAGCTGTGCCTGCCATAAATGTCGGGGGCTTTGGGGAGCTTTGTCTTTTATCTGTGGTTCCTGGGGGAGCCTGGTACTGGAAAATTGGAATACATAACGTAGATGGTCCCTTAGGCACCACTCTCTCCAGAGCTCTCCCGGAATGGTTCCCACTGTTGGTGCTTACGCAGGCAGTGGGTTTGATCCTCATCTCTCTGTTGCCTGGTGTGGCAGTTCTGGCTGGCTGGATACTCTCCCTCTGCCAGTACAGCAGCTCTGGCTGGCTGGATGCTCTCCCTCTGTCTCCCAGTATGGCAGCTCTGGGTGGATGGATCCTCTCCTGAGCCCTCTGGATGCACCTGTGCCTGCAGGCAGAGCAGCTGATCTCCTCTCTGGTGCTCCCCCTCCCAATGGCCCCAGCAGATTTTGGAACTTTCTCTGCAGCCTGCAGGGGTAGAAAAGCACCCTTTGGTGCTCTAAAGCCTCCTAACCCTGGGGAGGCTGAGGCCTTTGGAATTTGGGGAGAAGGAAGAGGGAGCTGCTCTATGGGCTTGTGTGGCACTGCCTGTGGCACAGGGTGCTCTGCTCACTGTGGCATGGGTGCCTGTTGGAGAGTGCTGCAGGCTCCATGTTTAGGTCAGATCCTTGTCTAGAATTACAAATGTCTCATCCTACATGGATAGCTTCTTAGTCCTCCCTGAACGGAGCTGCACCATGCTGGGAAGGGAATTGGAGTCTGTGGTCCGGAGCAGTTACACACCCTGAGCTCACCGGGTGCCTGAGGAGCTCCATGCACGTCTGATGTGTCTGGATCTGGGAAATGTGATGGGGTGATACATCAGCCTGTACCTCCTGGCAGGCAGGGAGCTCCAAGGTGCTCACTTATCCCTTATCCAAGCAGGATGTGACAGGGCTATAGGACTGGTGGTCCCTGCCATCTCCATGTGGGCACGCTGCAGGCAATGGGAGCTTCTGGAGCTCATCAAAGGGACTTGGTGACTCTGGAAATGGAGACAGGTTATATTCTGCTAATGAGTTTATTCAAGGAGCTGACAGAGGCCAAACTGATGTTGAACGTAGGAGACCTCCGTGTCCTGCAGGACAGACCTTTTGATCCTGAATTTCATCTTTGCTTTTTGTGAGTGGCTTCATGATTTCCCATAACTACCCATTGGGTGGGTGGGTGTGGAGCTTCAACAAAGGCCTGGGGGGATTTTTTGGCATTACTGAATTGAGGCTGATGTGAGAGCAAGGAGCAGAGTTGCTTAAATAGCAAAAAGCTGTGACGTGCCATGAGGTGTTGCAGGAAGCTGTTTCCTGAACTTAGGTGCTGCATCCCAGTGTGTGAGTGCAGCCCCCGGAAGACCCCAAGGAATCCTTCTGCAGCTCAGAGCATGCCTGGGCCAGCTGCACATTGTTTTTCTGGCTTCCACCCCAGCCTTCCCTATTGCTCTGTAATCCTAAGTTTGCCTATTGGGGAGTTTCCACCCCTCCAAAAGGGCTGCCATGGTTGGGGTTTGACTCCAAGCTCCTGGGGCAGAGTTAAACCTGACCCAAAGCCAGCTCAGCGCTTGGGGTGTTCCTGTGTGATTTGAACCTTCAGGCTGTAGTTTGGATAAGGGCATGATGCTTCCAAGTGCCCTGTGTGCACGAGGGAGAACAGGCAAAGAACAATCCAATGTTCTGGAAAGCAGTGTGGAAAATGCAATTTCCATAAAATCACAATTTTCTTATTTCTGTGGCTTTGGTAGGACTTGGAAAGTTCTGGATGGGTCTCTGTGGGTGATATTAGAGGGCCTTTACAGAGCTCCTGCCTCAGGAGTTGGCGTCGGCTCGCGCTGTCCTCCGCGAGGAAGGACTTGTACAGGCGGGGGGGACGTGGTGGCCCTGTCCTCTTCTAACCACAGTCCCTTTGCTGGTGTTGCAGCTCCCGAGGTGACGCAGGAGACGGTGGAATCCCTGATGCAGAAGTTCAAGGAGAGCTTCCGCACCAACACGCCCATCGAGATCGGGCAGCTCCAGCCCGCGCTGCGCAGCACGTCCGTGGGGAGACGGAAACGCCGGAGCCGCCCCCGAGGTAGGATGTTGTGGGCATCACCTGCTCCCCCAGTGACCAGGTCTGGAGGAGTTTGGCTGGGGAGGAAGGAGAGAGCTCCCCCACCGTCCCTGCTGAGCGTGGGGACACCAGAGCTCCTCTGTGATGGGGTAAAGAGGGGCAAACCCCACGCAGCAACCTCAGGGTGGTGTGGTGGAGGTGCTTGGGACTCCTGTTGCATCTATCTCTTCCAGTGGATTCTTCCAGGTCTACTGCAAGTCCAGAGTCCCTGGACTCGCTGAGGTGGGAGTGAAACAGTTTCTTGGCAAGTTTCTGTTTCACAAAGGGGTGAAGTTCATTTTGGCTCTGACATCACTGGGACCTCTCTTCTTTCTGCTTTCCCAGTGCTTAGGGGTTTTTGGACTCCACACAGGGTGGGAGCAGCGTTCATGGATCTAAAGGATCAGCATTCATGGATCTAAAGGCTGTACCGTGCAAAAGGCTGTGTGGAGGGATCGGGTCCACGTTTCCACCTGTGGAGGAGAAGGGAGTTGTCAGGGTCCCTCCAGGGGTGATGGGCAGGGGGATCCCTTGGCCATGGCCTGCCCGCTGCACTGAGGGTCTTTGTGGCAGCACCGGGAGCTGGAAAGGAAAAAACTTTTCTTTCTGTTTACTGTTGGTTTTCTTTTTCATTTATTTATGAGTCTGAAATGTGATCTGTTATTCTGGATACATTTTCCTGCAATACAGGCCTGGAGAGGGCTTTTCTTTATTATAGCTCTGCCCATAAATTATTCACTTAGTGTGAAGAGAATGTTCTGACTCTTTAACTGGTTTAAATTATTTGGTTTGTTTTCTAGTAGTTATTCAAATACGTGTCTCTGGATTTTAGTGTGTGTGTGGGTGGGTGCTTTTGGGGTCCACAGAGACTGTCTGGGGAAATTTCCCTGATTCCCTGCTCCAGCTTCTTTTTTTGTATGCGTGTGTTTATTTCACTTTTGAACTGCCTGAAGGTAAGAAGCTTTTTGGTCACTAATGGAACAAGTCAGTTAATCCTTGCAGCTGAGCTTAGGAGGAGACACAGTGCCCAGCTGCAGGCAGAGCCTCTGGCTGTGTGGGAGCAGAGTGTGGCCCTGAGCCAGCCTGGCTTGTCCCCAGTCTCTGGGGACACCCTTCACCCCATTTCCCACCTCCCCAGGATTCCTCTGCCTATTAGTGGCCACAGGAATAGTCTGTGGATACCAGACCAAGAGTGCCCTTGATCACTCTGCATTTCTCCTCGTACTGGTGTTTCCTCAGTGTGAGAGTTGGAGATTTGTTTGTACCCAACGTGTGTGTGGCATGAGGAGCCCAAGACATAACGTATCCCATGGGCTTCAGGAGGGGACCCTGACTTCCAGTGTTCCCACCTACAGGATGCCTCACCAGCACGCCCTAGAGAAGAGATTTTAAGGGCTCAAATCATCAGGAATCAGTGAGCAGCCCCAACAAGCCAGCCAGTCCCAGCGTCTCCAGTGGAGTTCTCGCTCCCTATAGCCCCATCCCATCCATCCTCTTTTCCCAAATTCTCTTTGCTTGTGGAAGTGGTGGCCGGGCACTGCTGCTGAGCTGATCCATGCCTTTTCCTGCCTTTTCCCTGGCCTCTCCTGAGCCAGAGGTTTTGTTTTACAGCCTGTGGTTACCTGTCCTTCCGGAAGGCAAGCGGCTGGAGTGCGAGCGAGCGCTCAGGTTAAAGGATGATACCACAAATCAGGATGTTTTCGTTTTCCATCCAACTGCAAACACAAACCCTTTGCCTCATTAATCCATTGCAATTCACGAGACTTTTTTTTTTCCCTTCCCCTTAAATGAAATTGTCCATTTGGGATACATTTATTTCCTCCTAACGGCCGCATGACAGTTCTGCTGATGGAGCTTGCATCCAACTTTGTTCCTGGGTAGTGACAAGTCGGCCTGACGGATGCCTGTGTGTAATTATTTTCTTGTGGTTTGATTTAATTAATGCTTAACCTCATCAGAGCCCTACAGCTGGAGCGCTCTCCCCGCAGGAACCGTGCACAGCAGAAGGATTTCCTCCTTTATGGAAAGGCTCTGAAAGGGTTTCCGAGTGCTGCTCCTTCAGGATGATGGGATAAACCATCCAAAACAGAAAACAAACAACCCAACCCGCCAGCACAAGGAAAACCAATCTGGGATCAACTTTGTTTTGCTTCACTTCTCTGCACTGAGTGTGTTTAAACTGCTGCCCATTGCTCATCATTAAATCTGGTTCTGTGCTGAGTGTTTCCAGCAGCTCTAGGAAAGGGGTATTTTTCCAAGTGCATTGACTTTAAAAAAATACCCAAAACAACACCACCTTCTCCGTTTACAGTGCTATATAACTTCATTTTGTCTAATGCCTCTTTCATAGAACCTTTCTCCCTAAACACTTCGACTGAGTGAAGTGTGTTTAGAGGTTATAAATAATAGAGGGAGAGTGAGGATGGTGAGAGCCGAGGGGCAGGAGGGATGGGCTGGAAGTTGGAGATCTCCATGGGGGCTGGCAGTGCTGGAGGGAAGGATGCTGAGTCCGAGAGCGTTTGTAGTTCCCAAAATGCAGCCAGGTGGTAGCCAGACATCCCAACCTGGCTGCACCAGAACTGGGAAGTGATGCCCTAGAAAATACGGGGAGAGGCAGCAGGGCAGGGACAGAGGGTGGGGATTTGGCCAACAGACCACCCTGCGTGTGTGGACGCAGGGGCTGGGTGGGACATTGGCATGTGGGGCTGGGGGGTGGCCTTGGGGTGGCTGGTGTGTGCAGAGAGGGGGTCTGGTGCCCTCTCCTGGGGCAGGGCTTTAAAAGCACCCTGGATTTGGGAAGAAACAACCCATAATGATCCTTCTCCTCAAACAGGATGTGCTGTTTATCAGGATGTGCTGCACAGTGGGGCTGCAGCTTCTTGTGGTTTGGAGGTTTTGGCTGTGCCCTGAGTGACCCAAAGTTCCCTGAGGAAGGAGAGTTGAAACTCATCTGAGTTCATCCATAGTCCCTGCTTTTGCCAGGACACGTCTGCCTGCACCTCACTCTGTCCATCTGTCCTGTGGTGCCTGTGCACCATCATGTTTTGCAGGAAAGGCTTTTTGAGGCTTTAGCCGGGAACTTTTGCCTCCTCTGAGTCAAAGTATCATGTCCAGATCTGTGAGTTGTCCTTGGTGAAAATAAAACCCTTCACAGCCGTGCAAGGGCTGCTGTCTGGGAGCATTCCATAGTAGAAGCCATGGGACCATCACCTTGTTGTTACACCACCCACAGTGGTGGGTTTTTTGGATATAGACAGAAGGAAAAGGGACAATAAATGAGGAGGAAGAGCCTTCCTCAGTGTGTGTGAATGTACCACTGCCACAGGGCACTTAATTTTAAAGGGCTTCTCTTCTTTATCCTTTTTTTACATTGACTGGGTAAGTTTCAAACACGAATGTTCGTGTATTTATTTTTTTTATTTGTCCCTAAATCTGCATCTAACTTACCTTTCTCTGGCCACGTTTAGTTTTTCAGTTGGCTGGTGCCCTTTTCAGTGTTAAATTAATTAAACTGAAAATTCTCACTTAGCTAATTGCATTGCTCTGCACAGCCCTGCCAGCCCTCAGTGCATGGACCTTGCCACCGAGCTGGCATGGCGGGGAGGGCACTCCTCATCCAGCTTTTACTGGGAAGCTTGGAAGCAGAGAAGCTTGTTGAACACCCAGGAGACTGTGCTGCATGGGGCAAGTGAGCGTGGAGCGGAGTGAACCCAACACGGTCGAGCAGGGAGGTTGTGGGTCTTGAATTCTGTGATATGTGCAGGGTTTGGCCCTTTTCCTGGAGGGAAGGGGTGCAGAAACTCCCTTTTCAATTGACAGTAGTTGCAGGGCAGGGGGATGCATAAAGATGTCACCCAGGTTGGCACCACTGGGGACAAAAACAAGCTCCCACTTCCATTTTAACATGCAGCTTGGAGAGATTAAGTAGTTGAGGTCAATTTGGCCTCAGACAGGAGTTATCCAAATAGCTCCTGTTACTTATTTTGTTATTTTAACTCCATTTTGGTTTGTTTTGCATCCATAGTTATTTTCCTAAGATGCTCTGTGACCTACTGGCTTTGGGGAAAGGATTAAAAATGTCAGGTTTGCTTTTTATTTCCTCATTAATGCCAAAACCTCACTTTTAAAAAAAAACATACACGTGGCTTTTAGCTAACAGAATTCTTTGGGGATAACGGAGCCTCTGATTCCTGAGTTTTATTTCTGTAGTCCCCACTCGGCATTAAAGCTACCATCTTTAATTACACCCTAACGAGGTGTTTGCCTTGGCGCCCCGCCTTGCTCCCCACTAAATTAATGTTGCACTCAGAACAAGCACCCTGCCCGGGTGCCTGGCTGAGCTGAGATCTATTTGAACGGATTAACGAGCTTGTAAATCTGCAAACAGGATTAAAAACAAGAGCATCTTCTTTGAGCTCCCCCTCCTCGCCCCCCTGCTGCCTGGGGGCTGAGCCATGCAGGAGACAGGGGTGTGGGTGAGGAAGGGGAGCTTCGTTTTCTCTCCAGTCTAAATAACAGGAGTGAACTGTGTGTAAAGGGGGTGTAACTCCTTGGAGGAGTCACTGCAGAGAGTTGCTGGTGCATTACGGGTACCTGGTGCTGCAAAGTTGCCGTTTCCCTGTTCTGTCTTTTAAGCATCTTATTCCACTTTGTAATCGGTTGCAGTGATTAGGGTATTTTTTTTTCTGATACTTGGTGGTTTTCTCCATGTTTTTAAAGGAAGAGGAATGCTGACCAGGCAGGGCTGCTTGGCTTTAACTGGGGTGCTGTCCTTATTCATCCCCATCAGCACCTGCACGTGGGTGCTCTCTGCTGTGAGCATCCTCAGCCCCATCACATGATTATCCTGGGCCCGTGTCTTGGCAGCAAGCTGCAGCTGAGGCTAGTTGTTGAGCTGGGTCAGTAGGCATTGCCCCGGTTGTGAATGTCTCACAGGGGTCATTCAGCAAGATTTTGGGGCGAGTTAAACATGAAATCAAGTTTACAGCAGGATCGGTTGAGGATTAGCGTTCCTGCATCCTCCAGGTTGCCTCAGCTGGGTTCCAGGACCCCTAAAACCACCACCAAGATGTGTTCTGGCATCTTTGGTAACACAAAGGAATAAAAGCACATCCCTGGCAGCCGTGTCCCTGCCCTGGGCTCGTGTTTCCAGGCTGACCTCTGCCACTGCATGTAGGGTCAGAGGAGACGTTTCCGCTCCGGGCTGGGGACCTGCGCTGGGTCTCCTGACTCCTGTATTTATACATCCTGCGCAGTGCTGGGTAATCAGAAAATGCAATATCGCTGTCACCAGCTCTCTGAAGACATCCAGCCTGAGTAATTTAACATGTCAGCTCCATCCATCACGGAGACGCAGCCGGCAAACAAACGCGGAGCGGCCGGCGGGGGCTGGGCCGGTGGCGGTGGAGCAGCTGCTGCCTGTGCCACTGCCCGGTCCCCTCGGCGGGGTGTGAGAGCAGAGACAGCACTGGATCGCTGCCTCTGTCCACCCCAGCCATCTGCCTGTCCAAAAGGGGCCAGGTCTGGTGCATGGGAAGGTGGCAGAGGGACGTGCCATGTCCTTCCTGCACAGGCAGCAGCCAGGTCCCTTTCCCAGGCAGAGATGGCTGTGCTGAGCTCCCGGGGAAAAAACCCTCCTGTAGCTGGTCTCTGTCTTCCAGCCCTGGACACTGCAAAGGGGCCCAGGGCAGCCCCTTCTCAAAGAGAATGGGATGTGCAGTAGGGCTGCAGTCCTGGCTGGTTGCCCAAGGGCCTGTGTTAGAAGCCCAGATTAATTAAGATTTTTCTCGCTGATGTGAATAAGCCTGATTGGTTTTACCACTCCGCTGTGCCTTTCAAACCCCCAGACCCTGGGTGTGGGTGCATCATGGCACTGGATGTTTGCTGTGTTGTTTGTGTCTGAGGAGGGGCCGATGGTGGGTTATGGTTTGGGGTGTGAGTCTATAAACCCAGCAGCCCACATTTCCAGGCATTAAACACTGCTGTGTTTAAGCAGTGACCCCTCCTGCTGCTTTCAGGAGGAACTTCTTCCTACCCCTCTGTTAAGACACCCCTTCACACCCCCTCTGAGGGCACTTCTTGGCCAGCTGAGGGCATGGAGAGGGCAGGAGCCACGTGTGGAGCTCCCAGTGTCCTGCTGGCTCCTGCCAGCCACCTCTCATCGCAGTGATTAAGGATTGCAGAGGGCAGAAGGCATCGCTCATTTTCTGTTCTCCTGCCAAGAAATGGGGAAATGGTGCTTCTGCCTAGAATAAAGGATTTTTTAAAAACAGTAAAATATTTTAATGGCAGTTTAAAGGGCCACTGTCAACCCCCAGAGGCCTCTTTGCTTTAAACTCTGCAAGGATTGAAGGACTGCTGCCAGTTAAAGTCTGCGTCACTTTTAAAGCATTCATCACTCCTTGGTGTGTCCGGGGCTGAAGCCAGCTGGGCTCCTCCTGCATCCTGCTCCATATCCAGCCCAGAGAGGAGGATGCCAGGTAAACCATGGGCCAGCCCTGCTCCTGTCAGTCCTGGCCACTGCAGGAACATGTGCTGCTGGTTGTCATGGTGAGCTGGGGGAGCAGATGGGCCAAAGCAGGTGATGAGAGAGAGAAGTGGGACCTTTGCCATGTGGTGGGGTCGTGGGTGCCCCTCAAGTGCTGTGTTCCCCATGTATTGCTTGTCCCTGCTGGGTTTGCTTTGAAGCAAACACCTAAAATTCACTGTACTTCACTGTGTCCTTGAGGAGAGCAGCTGCTACACTCAGGGCTTTCCTTTGTAAATACCTTGAAATACATTTGTATTTTGCGTTCTTGAGGGTAGAAAGCATCTTCTTACGTTCACATCGCAACTGGCATCATGGAGTCTTGATTTTTGATGAGGGCAATTAGGAACCAGTGAAATCATGAGTGTCAAAAGTCCCTGTTCACTTCTGGTGACCCCAAGTAGAGCATCTTAGTGAGGAGCAGTGGATTCTGGCCAAATCTGGCATCTCTGCCGAGGAGCTTCTCCTGCTGCTGAGCATCCCAGCTGACAGGGCTGATTTCTTCCTCTCTGTTGCTTGCAGGTGGGATCGGGTTTGGACGTGCCAAAGGAAACTCTGGCTCAGAGGCGGATGATGAAACCCAGCTCACCTTCTACACGGAGCAGTATCGGAGCCGGAGACGAAGCAAAGGTACAAAATGACACAGTGATTGCACGTGGGGGAAAAAATGGTTGAGCACTTTGATTGTTCCCATGGGTGATGGTGTCTGACATTGCCTGAGTCTAAAGGACGGCCATACCAGTCTGTGGTGGTAAGGCATCCCAAGATGTGCTGTCTGTGTGATGCAGCACCATGCAGGAGCCATAAATCATGTTTCTCGGTGATGTTGCTGAGGTTCTGGGTTTCTTTGATGGTTTCTAATATCAGTTTTCTTTCACGTGCCCTGGCACTTCCCCAAAGCTGCACCAGCAGGGAGCGATTGTGTCCGTCATCATCCTGGCGCCAGTGCAGCTGTCAGGGCTGGTCACCTTGGCAATTCCTTGCTCCAAACTCCCGTTTTTTGCCCTTTATTTCCCATGCAAAGCATCCGTTGGATGAAAGTTTCCTGGCCTTCCTCTTGGCACAAAGGCAATTAAAAGGAACAAATTCAAAATGAGGGTTGGGGCAGGGATTTGTAGACCAAAGTCCCTTCAGGCTCTTTTGTGAGTTAGAGAAGCTGAGAAACTGAAATATCATCTGCAGTTTGAAATTAGTGCCTGTGTTTCCTGCGGTCACATCACGCTGGATCGTTTTTGTTCGGGACTCTCGGCCCGAGCTGTTTGGCAGAGGGGAGGACGATCCTTGGTGCTGCTGCTGCTGCTGCTGCTGTGTTTGAAAAATCACAGTCGGGAAATAACTCCGTTGGGAAGCAATTTAAAACTCGCACAGTGGGCCTGCTCCCTCCATTTGTTTTGTGCATGAAGCCGGGCCTCGGCGCAGCGCAGCAGCCAGATAGATGCCGGTACCCACCGCGGCACACACGGCCCCATTTGTTTCCATGATGAGCCATTCCCATAAATGCTCTCCCAATGTGTTTATTTGAATGTGAAATTACCTCAGCACCTCTGATCAGCTCGGTGGTTGCACACGGGAATGAACACACGCGCACAGGGGTGCACTGCATTTGTTCCTGCTGAAAGGCTGGGCCTTCAATTTTATAGGTTTGGGGTTTTTTTTTCTCTCTCTTTTCCATGTGTTTTAGAACCATGAGAAATTATCGCTGAGTTTAAAATGAGCTTTTGATGAAAAGCAGGGAGAGGAGTCGTGAGTTAAAGTTACCTGTTGCAGTATGAACACAGCTGCATTCAGGGGAAAGTCATAGAATCAGAATCACAGACTGGTTTGGGTTGGAAAGGACCTTAAAGACCTTCTTGTTCCAGCCCCCCTGCCATGTGCAGGGACACTTCCACTAGACCAGGTTACTTAGAGCCCCAGACAACCTGGGCTAGGATGCTCCCAGGGATGGGGCACCACATCTTTTCTGGGCAGCCTGTGGCAGTGTCTCATTAACCTCACAGGGAAGAGTTTCTTCCCAATATCCAACCTAACTCTGTCAGTGTGAAGCTCTTCCCCCTGTCCTGTCACTATACACCCTTGTCCAAAGTCCCCCTCCAGCTCTCTTGTAGGCTCCCTTCAGGAACCAGAAAGCTAGAATAAGGTCTCCCAAACCCTCCTCTTTTCCAGGCTGAACAGCCTCAACTCTCTCAGCTTTTCCTCATAGGAGAGGTGTTCCATCCCTCTAATCATCTTTGCGGCTGTGTGAGAGAAGGAAGAAATTATTGTATTGCAAACAGGGACGAAAGAAACTGTCCCAAAACAGGGACAGGGGGTAAATTTCCTGAGTGCTGGAGTAGTGTTTTTCAAGGAGTTATTCTGCAATACTTGGCTGGATGTGAAACCCCTCGAGTACTTTGGAAAAGTCACTAAAGTTTGGGTTTTTTTCAGCTTCCACTAGAGAAAGGGGTGATGTTGTGCGAGGAAGGTGTGGAAAATTGTCTTTAAATGAAAAGGAGATAAGTTTTTGCAGGGCTGCCTTGACGCCATTCCCCCAGGTCAAGTGCTCTGCCAGCCTCTTGAAAAGCACTCGTACTTGATGCCAGGTACAAAGATATCCTTATCGACGTATGTGTTGGGTTTGGGTTGTTTGTTTAAGCTTCCTGGTAGGGCAGATATAAATGAATAGGATAGATGAATGGGAAGAATTCCTTTCTTTTCCTGTGAATAAGCTGTTGTTCACCTGGGCAGCTTTGATGGCTGGGTTTGAAGGGAATTCAGGAGGCAGAGCTGCCTCGCGCCGTTGCACGGAGCTGGATGTTAGATCTGCGTTAGCGTTTGAGCGATGCTGTGAGAACCTGGTTTGTTCGTGTTCACTGGTGGCTAACAGAGGGAATTGTCTTGCGTAAAGTCCCCATTGTGCTACCCCTCCTGTCTAGCTAAATTTTGCCATCACTGCGTCCTTGAAAAGAATTTTCTATTATCTTTTCATTGACTCCTCTCTCCCTCATGGAAGGAAAGCAATAGCGCAGTGGGAAGTCCTAGTACCAAACTCATAATTACAAGTTCAGCCAAGATCCATAATTGGACGGGATCGTAACTCTAATAGAGAAGGATGCGTCGTCAGATACAGTTAATTCTTACAATGATGTTCCCATATTGATTTTGCTGTGCTTGCGTGTCATTGCAGGTGCTGTCAGATAGTTATCAGGTCCAAGGAGAGAGATTCCTTGGGGTTTCTCTCCTCAGATGAAGTTTTGCAGGATTGAGCCTAATTACTGGTACTGTCAAGGCATTGATCCCAGACCGTGGGAGGGGAGTTGCCACTTAGGTGGTGCGTAGGTTTGGTTGTATTTGAGCTTGGTTGAAGCTGGCTGGTTAAGTGGTTGTGTGTCTCCTGGAGAAAGAGGGCAGCAGGTTCTGTAGTGCCTTGGCAAGGTTTACTGAAGGGACATTCCTACAGGTCAGTATGAGCAAGGGAGAGCCTGTTCTGTTAGCTCAGGACCAGCAGACCCGTTGATACCTGGTTTTCAGTGGTGGAATATATGGAGAAGTAAGTCTGATCAGTCCAGGTATGGAGTCAGGGATGGCTGAGGCATCACCTTCTGTGCTCCCAGCACACTGCACCACTCATCCTTCCAGCTTCTAAGTCTGTGGGGTGCCCTTACACTTATGTTCTCTTGTCTTTGGGAAGTCCAGAGACATTACAGGGGAGGAGAGTGTAAGAAATAACGCAGAGGACACCTTTCTGTGGAGCCTCGGTCTTTTGTTTGCTGTTGGGCTCAGCCCCATCTCTGGGATTTGAGCTGGGAGGGGCAATGCAGATCAGCAGTGTCCCTGGGGAGCTGGGTCATGCCTGGAAGTGCTCTGTTCATACCCATCTTCAGTGAGACATCTCTTCTCTTTGCCGTGGCCCCTGCCTGTGCCCATGCCAGCTCTCCACCCTCTGCTTATTTTTGAGGGATCAGTATGAGCCCTGCTCTAATGGCAGCGCCGACAACAGGGCTGACATGTAGTCTTAAGGGAGCTGGAATTTGGACTGTTTTTCCAAATGAAACAAGTCCTGAGAGAAGCTCTGTGCTCAGAGGCTGGAGGGACCCTCAGCTAGGTCCAGGGATTCTCCTTCCTGCTGACCCTCAGTACTGACTCCTTGAGATTTTCCAGAAATCAGACTTTATTGCAACCTGATTGCAACATGTTTGTGCACTCCAAGGCTCTGCTTTTCATGGGGGCTGGCTCTCCCCTTTCCCACCCCCATGGGAGAATCTGGAAACACGGGAACCTCTTTGCATGCTGGCTGTGGTACACAGATGACTCTTGTCTCCTGGGCTGCCTGTCATTGCACATTTCACCAGCATTGAAGTCTTGTGAGGGAGAACCTGCCGGTGTTGTAAAGATGTGAATCCACACCCCCCGCTGTCCATCACAGCCGATATCAAAGCTTTGATACTTAGTTCCTCTCTCTGGAGCAGGGTGGGATGTGTTCAGTCAGGTCGCCCTCTGAGTTTGAGAGAAAAACAGAGTAGCAAAAGTCACCCTAAACCAAGGAGGCAGAGCCCTGTGCCTGAGGCAGAGCCCTGTACACAAACCTCACTTGTGCGTCACTCCTGCTCCGTCCCCCTTGCCCCGGGGCGGTGTTTGCCTCCTGCCCAGCAAAATATATTCATCTCCAGGTCTGAGTGTGCAGTCCCAAGCTCCCCTGGTGACAGGCAGCCCAATGGCTGGTCAGATAGAGAAAGATGAGGGGAAGCAGCAGCATTGTAACTCCAAGGCCATACCAGGGTCTGTGTCCAGCTCATTAAGGACTCAGTGAATCTAATGAGCCCTCCTTGCTGGAGGGGAGGCAAAAGTGAGTTTTCCCCACCTCCCTCTGCTTTCTCAGGCCACAGAGCAGCTGCTCTGTAACACAGAAACGTGCAGCAGATGCTGTGCAGCTCCCTGGGTTGGGGGTAACTGAGGCAGGGAAAGTGATGGCATCATATGGAGACCCTGCAAGGGGCTGAGCCATCCCAAGCCGATTCGTCTGGGAGATCCAGAGACTCTGTGCCCTCTCCTGCAGCCTAGATGTTGTCTGAGCCCCTGTATCCCAGCCCCTGGGACCTGCCGGGGTTCTCTGCAGCTGCTGGCAAACCCCTGGGTTGCTGGAAACCCAGGTACAAAGTGGAGCGTGGGATTCAAAGCAATGCTGTTGCTCACGTGATGGTTGAGATGTACCAGAGGGCACCTGGCACAGTGTCCACCTCTCTGGGGAGTCTCATGGAATGTCCTCAGCTGGCTGCTGCTCCTCAGGCAAGCTCTGGCATCTGTTTCAGCCTGAGCTGGACTACCCTGAGCCCACTCCCCCACACTGGGGTCTGGAATCGCTTCACTCCTCTCAGCATCACCTCTATTGCAGCCTGTTAAAAGAGGAAGGGGGGAAGTACCCACCCAGTTTTCATGCGTAGCTGTTGTTCAGATGGTACCTTCCCATCCCAGGAGAGCTCCCCACCACCCCAGGGAAGGGAGGACTTGGTTTTGGGATGCTCCTCAGCTGAGGTCTCCATGAACAAGGCACCTGGCTGTTCCCATAGCACGCAGGGATGGTTTTGACAAATTAACAGAGTTCAGTTATGTACCTTGGATTGGTGTCAACCACACGGGTGTGCACGTGTGTGTGT